TGATTTTTCTTCGTAATTAACGGAAATTACCAATGCTTAATAGCTTGATTATGCTCAACTAATCTTGTGTGATTTATTGTCACGAACTTCCATATCTGTCTTTTAGCTCGTCGTCTCGTCTGAGTCGAGATCTTCCATTTGGACGTTTGGAACCTCTTGGATACTCATTGCCGAAGTTCATCGGTTTTCCGTAAGGCGTGCGATGTTATCTGTCCGTTGTCGCTTATTTCTTTTGAAAATGATAAAACGTCCTGCATTGTCGCTTTTCTTCATATTTTTTTATTCCGCAGCTTTTCCCTGATTAAAATTCCTAGTATCCTTCATTCTATAAATGTTGTCGTTGTTTGCTTTGCAGTATTTTGACTATAAGAGACTTGTTACCCGTCTCACAGGGAAGCATTTATCTCTGAAAACACGTATATCTCTGACTTGTTCCTCGATGTTGTTTGCTAGCTTCTTCATTGAAGTCTGTCGTGTTTCGGCTCCCAAACGAGAAGCTCAGTGGTTGGAGTAAATGGCGTATGATGAACTAGGTTATCTAAAAGGGCCAACCTTTTTTTTAATTTCCACATCTTTCGAGGTTACCTGTGCTCAGAAGAGAATGAAATCATTGCCTACATCTTCCTGCCATTTAGCCCTCAATATCCGTACAAGCTAACGCTGTTCAGCTGTCGTTTTGTTCCTTTTTTAAAACTGTCTACATGCTGTACAACAACACAGATCTGACAGGGACGAGGTACAGGCAGAGTTTTAGAGGAAGAGTTATTCGTTTTTCAGCCCAAATATATGACAGATTCCCAAAGCACCCTAGGCTACATCGGTTCTCCCATTTATTTCTTACTGGAAAGTAACATTTCGGGAGATGATGGAGCCGAGGTGTTTAAACTGATCAACCTTTTACAGGGCTTCACCTCCTTGTTCTATTTGTAGATCACTTATGCCGGATAGGTTTCTTATAACTGTTGACTCTTGCGCGTTAAGAAAGAGGCCGGTTTTCACAACAGTGTTACATACGGAAGCCATCAGGTGACAAAACCAACTTCAACTGCTCAGTGACCAAACGCAGAACGAATTTTTTTTTGATTTGGAAGAAGTCTCTTATCAATAGCCTGCATCAGTTTTGTAGTATTATCCAGGAGATACGTTTCTCGGGAGTTAACAGTAGTGAGGTATCACAGTGATTGGCACACTCGACCACATTTAAATATGATGACCTAAATATTTAGTTATATTTTAAACATGTTCCACGCTTCCATTCTCATGGGAATCGTATGTAGGTCTATATTTGATGAAACAGGCTATGGAGCTTTGCTATTTTTCCACTTCCTCCATAGTTAATTAACTGTGGAAGAATTCGATCTATTCCATAGGCTTTCTTCACCGTGAAATCTAGTAACGGATTTTGAATTAAAAAGCTTTTGTTTGGCTCTGTACTGATCTTCAATGTTGGCAGAAAATTAACTGTCAGAAATGGCGAATCTTAAGGGAGCCGTTGAGCCGCTGCCCAAAATAATAAGCGTCTCTTTTGAGGCGTTCCCTCTGGCCTGCGAGTGGAGCACCCTTAACTTCTTGAATAAGGGCAAACTGAGTCCACAGCATACCGGATAATTGTCGCACTGCTGCGTTCTTAACAATTCTTCCTCGTTTTTCGTTAATGCTCGCCCAGGTATGACAATTATATAGAGCGGATGATAATACAGTGTGCGTCTAACTGCCATTAGAGATTTTTATTTTCAGGAATGTCAGCGTTGCTTCTTGTGCGTGCTCAGCGCGGCATGATGACTTCTGTCAAGCTGTGGTTTGAGGGAGTGATCAGATTTCCATTCGTTTTACTTTGAAATTGAATTCTCAGTTCTCTGGACGTGGTATCATCACTTATCAGTTAGATTATCACAAGCGTGATTTGGCTAATACGCATTTATCAACCTCGGAAGGAAGAAAGGAGAGTGAAGCTATCGGGGATCGATCCCCATGAATCTCGGTTTTGAGTCTGATGCTTTACTGACTGAACAATCCGGGCCATATGAAAACAGTGTACTTTTGACTGTTAATATCCTCGCACCGTAAGTTTTACGAAAAACAGTGCCACTGACTATAAAAATGTACTATAAGATGGACATTCCCACGGTTACGAACTTTCCTTTCCATTTACGAACTCTTGGAAACCTTCCCCAAACCCTCTGTTTCATACACTAGAGGTAAACATTGGCAGCTCGTCGACCACGCTACTTCAAATTGGCTTCTGTCCAGATGCCACCTGCACTTCCTCATCGATAGCGTTGACTAGGGCATCTGTTCGCTCATGCAGCTGTTGGTTCTTTGCTCAATGTGACCGGCATTTGCCACTTTCTTTCTTGTTGTCGTTTCGAACTGGTTTCCCTAGGGGACGGCCGGCTCGCATTCGTACGCGAATGGCTTTGCTAATGCGTCGAGCAATCGACGAATTGCTGTTGTGGTTTGCGGCGCTGTCGACCTCGCTGTAAGTAAGTGCAAGATATATTGGGCCAATAAACGAAAACGTTCCGCCCTTCTTTTTGTGTCGGTAAAAAACCTGAAATATTTGCATTCCCTCAATTATGCATATCTGACAAGTTTCTTGCATTCAGAGCGATCGATCGATTTGTCGAGGGTGGTTTTTGATTGCTCTGAGGTTGATTGTTACGTTGAGTTGCGGTTCTTTCGTTCTTTCTACTTTTTATGACTCAGTTCTTTAGCGACGCTGTCACGAAAAAAATATATTTCCTCGATTCACGACTAATTAGATATTTCTTAAAGGTTGTTTTGACACTTTGCCTATCGCCCTATTAATGAGTGCTCTCTTTGCCAATCATTTAAGACGCGACTAGCAAAACGCGGGTAGTAAAGTTTTGCTGATGGTCGACGCTATTAATATCGTATTAAGAATGAGGGATCACTGCGACTGTAGTTAAGTTGTTTTCCTCATTTAGCCTTAGTTTTCGTAAAGGTAGCCCATTATTTAAAGTCTTAATTTATTGTATTATAATCCATACAACTTCTGAGGATGGATCCGGGGTGATCGGAAACGTCCGGTAAATCACAGGACTATTCTGATGAAGAACTATGCACTCGCATAAGCAATCATAAAAGCGTTTGGTGCCGTTTGTGTAAACGCGGAATTAAGATTCAAACATCGATAACACGGTTCGAATCTCATCACAGTATAATTTAGTTTTTACTCTCTGGTCTGCATTTTTTTTCTCTTTTTCGTTCACCTCCGTCATTTTCATTCGTTTTTCATGTCTTATGTCTTCTACGCTTATGTTGCATTTCTTTAAAATGTGTTAATTATTTACCTGCTGATCTTCATTATCTATGAAAACATAACTAATACATGGTACAATATCTGTACAAAATACTAATTTGTACTGAACAACGGACACCATCGTTGACATAATTTATTTTTTAGACTTCTACGGTAGATAATTCAACTAATACTTTTCAGGCCTTTTGAGAAGGTTAATAAATAAGTAAATATTTTGTAAATTTTTCATCTTCTGATTTGCAACAAGCTTAAGATGTTATCTTGAACATAAATAGAAGGAAATTAAAAGGTTCATGAATTAAATAAGAAATAGCACTGAAGATAAATGCCGGTAAATCTATAAGTACATTTACAGGATAAACTGCTGCAGTCAAGTTTAACGATCAAAACAAAACAAAAACAATTGCATCATTGCTGATAAGTGGCAGGGGAGAACGAAAACAAGCAGTTGTCTGGCAAACGCGTAATGCTAAAGTTTATTAATTTTTTTAACCTACGGATCAAGGTCTGTCCGTTGATGTTCAACCCAGTAAGTGGTTCTGTATTTTTGCTAATGCACTGCAAGTGTTAAAATACCATGGAGCCTTGGCCTCTTGCTTATGCCTTAAACAGACTCCTACGCTACTATGCGCAAGGAGGATGATGCAGCTGCGCTGTGTAAATCCGAAGAAGTGACAAGAAAATATGTGCATTTTAATTTCTGTTCAGATGTTCACAAGTGTTCTTTAGTCATCGACTCGAGACCGTAATTGAATTGCTACGCGGGGCTTCCAATTTTTTGGGCGCTGCGAATAATCCGAAACTTAAACAGAGCGCTGCTTACATCACGTGAAGAAAATTGAACTTCAGTCTCCTGTCAGTCTTCAGGATTTATGCTCCCTAATCGCACCGTCCTTCGCTTATATTCTCCTAAGGGACTGTTTAAGCAGGCCATGGCTTCGTGGGATTTAGCACCTGAGGTGCATGGATGCGAAACAGCTCTCTGTGCAGGGGCGAACACCCTGTGAATCCAGAGAATTGATGGAAGTTTGTTGTTCTTATGGGCAGTGTCAAAAACTCGCAATGTATGGAGGCTCAAACTGATACGCTTTTCAGTCCAGAGTGGTAATGTGTGGCTTTTACTGCATTACTCCCTAAGCCTCAGCCTACATCAAAGTCACGGCGTAAATTTAATCTTACAGACAACAACGGTTGGTTTAGGTATAGGGGTATATTAAGTAATCCTCCCGCTACCCCGCGGTATTAACGGCTTGATCTGAACCGCAAATCAGTTTCATTCCACACCGGTATGAATGGATTATCCTCTGCATAGTAAAGCCTATGTGAAGCCTTTACACTGTGTCCTGCAGATTTATGTTTATATCGTGGGTGAGGTAGCAATGTGGCGTAGTCACCCTCATCGATGTGCTATCGAAGATCCTCGTTTATTAACATACTTCGGCGTAGGTTCCCATGCCTTTTCGTTGTGCATAATAACAGAGCTAGTTCCCGTTACTGAAATCTCGTTGACGATGAGCAGGGGAGCTTGTAGAATGATGTCACATTCATTTATATACTGCAGTTGTTGAAATTTCATGGATCAGTGGCCCATTTAAGTGACTTATGCAACATTAAAATCTGGTTTTAAAGGATACGCCCATTTACTTATTTTGTCGTACCAACCCAGATTTTATATTTAATAATGAAGATGAAATTAAGTTTCTAAAATCTATTCGTTATGAGATATGTGTCATTTAAATTCCGGATATGAATGTATTCTTATGCAGATATTTTTCAAATACGCTGACTTTTTACTGCCGCTCTTGTTCAGAGTGACGTGGAAGATTTCAATGAATGGTTGGAATTTTGCACATGCTAAACTGCTTAGTTGATACTTGTCCAACGATCTACATTGACGATATAAGAAACGTTTTTGTCCTGGAGTACTTTTATATACGACACCGTTTCAGAATTTTTTTCTGCGGTAATTCTGAAGAAGTGTCGTGGACTTGTCAGAAATGGAAGAAATTATATAAGATTAAACATTTGGTTAAGACCTGGTTCAGAGAACGTTTTCTTCCGTAGGTTATACCATGTGCGGTAATTCGATTCAGTGTGCAAGTATATCGATCGTATCAGCTAGACTTACTACTTAGATTATGGCTTTATGCTGAGGTTGTCATAATGGCAGCAACTTTCGAACCTCAGAGTGTCAGACATTAGTTTCTCCTTTCTGTTGTTTGTTTTCTCTTCCTTTCGTCATTGTGTGCAGTTTGTTAAAGTTGGCAGTTATGGCCTAGATAACGGTCTAACGTGATTCCAAAAGCTGATTCCTCGGAGTATCTTTAGCATTAACTGCTTCAGCAACCTGTAGTAGGCGTGTAAATCAGCTTCCTCTTTTTCTGCGTCATGTACACTGTTCTTTTTCGAAGGATGTATGAAGTTTATTTCCGTTGAAGCAAATACCATCTCCATTTCACTGCCTCTTTGCTGTCAAAACATGAAACCAGTTTCAGAATGCAAAAATACTTAATGCTGTCTTTTCTTGATAGGATTAAATCCATCCGATTTTCAGTAATTAACCCTAATGTTTGTCATGAAACAGCTAAAGTTGAAGTTCGATTTACTAACGTTGACAAATATCCATTTTAATTACCTTATTGTTATAAATAAACGGTCATCGAAACATTGGCAATACACTTATCAAATGTATTGGGTATGGCTCTTCGTCTAAGGCATTGATGTTCAGTCGGTATTAAAAGCTAATAACCTGCGCGTCCCTCAGTGCTCCATTCTGTCACAGTTGTTGTGTACCCGTTTCTATCAGCAACTGCAGGCCACACGAACCCATCCCAAATGGTGGCCGATCGTCTCAAGCAGGAATCGGTAGAGCGGGTGCCCATGTCATCGTATATTTGAGCCTGACCATAAATGAAAAGTTGACTTGGTATAACCAGCTGGGACAAAGCTGCGTAAAGCGTCGTGTTGGCTCAAGTCTGAAGCTCATGTTCGAGGTCTTGACGTTCCGTTCTTGAAGGTTCATTGAAGATTTGTTTGAAGCTGCATTATCTCAATGATCAACTTCTGCTTCCGTGTATTTTTGAAAATAAATGTAGGAAGTTCAACCCTTTTGCGCCATTGTTTTAAATCACTAGACTTCGTTTCGAGGATACCGCTTCGTCGCTGATTAAGATTGTAATCTCGAGAGTGATACACCTCACCAGCAAGATCTTCGGCAATGAAGAACATCCACTTCATAAGATATCCTTAAAGAATTTGTCTACATGGCTTGATCGCCCGATGTTCATCTACATGTAGGCGAGAAGAGAAAAACCTTTGTAAGACTGTGATATCTTGACAGAAAATCACTTCAGCGCTCACACTGGTTTTAACGGACTACCTTATGTGTTTACAACGTTTGTTGTCCTATCGGATATTTCGGCAAAACAGGCCAGGGGATTGGCATTGGGAAAATTCTCGCGTGTGTGTCGCTGTGACAAGTACGAGCCAGAAGAAAAGTGTTTGAAACGACTCACTGCACAAGAGCTCGGGGTCGATCAGAAATTCTCAGAAATAATTGTCAATGTCATTGTGTGACATGCAGAAAGCAATTAGAGAAATCAGCAGGTACAATTGCGAGAGCCTTTCTATGCTCAACATGCAAAGTGGTCTTTTTAAGATTCGAAGGTGATGATGATCTTGCAGAGACAAGATTCTGCATAATCTGCAACCAACATAAGAAGATCAACTGCATCCCCATCTTTTCTGACCAAGATGATTTAACGGCAGTACTGCTGAAAGTACTTATGACGGAACTCAGCATGCCTTTTACCGGCCTGTACAACAAATCACTATATCTTGGAAAGATACCGGATTTGTGTCGTATAGGCAGTTTCACCCTTTCCCAAATTAGCCAGTCTCTCATGGCTTAATAATTACAAACGAATTATCTCCCCTCCCAGTCTTTACCCCTGAAATTTATTGTACAACTTATTAACAGTATTCTGCGCGGCTAACAACATCGAGCGCCAATTAAAACAGGCAATTAACGTATACAGCGCAGTGAAGCATTGTCGATGCCCTAGCTCGTTTCTTCGATACAGTGATGATCAGTTTAGTCCATGGAAAGCGCGAAGGCAGTGTTTCTCGACTCTCTTCGGCATTAATGCATAATAATATGTTGATAATATAACAACGCAGGATGAGCTGTTGAATTTTTTG